AATATATAGTAACTAAAAACACATTTCATGATGAAAATATACATTTTTCACATATTTATATGTAACCATAGAGAATTCTTTACTTAGGCAATAAAAAAATAGCCTAGGGGCCAAATTGACACAGAGACAAGGAAGGAACAGTGCAAACTTCTTATCAGTGGAGATAAAACAAACATTGATATTTATTGTTATTTGACACAATGTCTGTTTTTAAATGTTTTTTTAATCAAAGCTATTTCATTCATTTATTTTACAGTTAGAACAAAGATTAAATCATAAACACCTTTACTGTATATAAACTGCATACCAGTTTATTTAATTTCTTTTTGTGAAACTGGATGATGATCAGAAAGGATCAAGTGTAATCAGCCCTGCCAGCCAATCATTGCCCTGCTGATTGCAGATCCACGTGTGTGCGACCATTTTTTCTATAATCTTTTTGCTGCTGTAACGCCAGAATTTCCCAATTGTGGGACAATAAAGGGATTTTCTATTCTGTTCTATAGGGTTAGAAAGACATAAGTGTAAACAATGCATGTATAAAAAAATATATATGCAAAATGTTATATTACAACAACAAAAAATACTTCGTTAAGCAAATTTTGCAAAAATAGCAATTAAAAAATAAAAATCCTACCACATTTATAGACCCCACACTGCAGATATATTAGAATCCGTCCTTATATTACAGCCAAACCCATTTACACAGTAACAGATAAAAACCTTAAATAAATTGAGTTTAAACCAGTTTTTTTATTAAAAAAATAAATAAATAATCCAAATATCTAAGGTGTAGATTTCTTTTATATTAATGACAGATGGGGACGTGATTAAAACTAAACTGCTCATTTACACATTAAACAGTTTAATCCCAACAGGAAAAAGGTGGGTTTGTTTGTTAACTGGTGTCTAAATGCTGCCATCTGCTGGTCATCGATGAAATCAGCAGCTGCAGAAACTCCAACAAATTTCAGGAATTTTTAGAACCAATCCAGTTGAGCAATTACCTTAAACTGTTACACTTTTACCTTAAACTTTCCCCTTTTTACAGGTTTTATAATTTTTTATGTAGTTTTTAGAACAACACGACCCTGTTTGTTCACATGCAGGCATTAAAGAGGCAAATCTGAGGACAGGAGGTTACATTAACATAAAAATACCGTAAATAACTGCTTAATTGGATTTTCGACTAAATTCTGCTCATCGTTAATTATACCGTTAGCATTACTGTGCTTTAAATTATTGCAATCTTCAGGAAATAACGAGTAACTTCATGACAGATTTATTTTCAGGGGACTGAAAATATTAAAATGTTTTAGTATCAATTTATTAGGCTTACGCTTACGCCAAATTCGTTTGCATTTTTAACTAAAAGTTTAAAAGAACCTTAAAGCTAGAAAAATTCGTTGCATGAATCCTATTTAGTCCTTACTTTAAACACCATAACCAGCCATGACTGTATTCTCGGTAGTCCGCGAATCAAACCAGAATATAATCTCTGCTTCTTAAAATGATGCGAAACGTCGAGTTTAAAACAAATATGGCGTCCTAACGGTGCGTTTAACGGAACTATATAGCGGCGGGCTGGAAAAACTGAATAATAACGAGTGATTTGGTGAAAAATGACTTTATTTTTTTAATTTAAACACGTTTAAGTTTCCTACCTGTTATTGGCGCTTCCACAGCTGCTGTTAGCGTCTCATCAATGCTTGATTTTACCGCGGGATCCAGGGATCTGATGGGGCGGAGCGGCTGGCAGACCTGAGATCAGCTGGAAGGGAAGATTTAGCGTTAAAGCAGCCTTCACGAAGTGACTCAAACTGACCGTAGAGCAGTGCTAAGACAAGACTTCAAGATGCGTCACTCTACGTCATTTCCTGGAGCGGCTCGAGTAAAGATAGGAAAAGTAAGATGTCTCACTCTTAATATTTCTAATAAAAACGTAAACTTAAAAAAGGTGTAAAACTATTTTATTTATTATAAAAGTACAGTTACTAAATATAAGAAAATAGCCTTCTTATTTCAGACACTGATTAAATTTCTCTTATATTCTTTGTAAGCTGTTTCATTTGGACATATGCGTGTAGTCTCCTAAAAAAATGCTGCTTAATTTAATCAACTACAAATTTCTACAAGTTACAAAAACTCTTATTTTTCTCCTCCTATCCTCTTCATCCTTTTAAACAACTCCACTAATTAGTTCATAGTGCTCTGTTACTCTATGCCAATTAAAGTTAAAAAGATCAACAGGTGAGAATAAATATATTTGGCCCTTGCAGAATGTTTTCCTTACTTCATGTTGTCAAAGTTTTTTTTTTTAGGTTGGTTTAGTTTTTTTATGTTTAATTTCTTTACTAAAACTAATTATTTCCGAAAAAATTCTGATGACACTTTCAAGTGTGACTATTAGGGGGAAAAAAATCTAAAAAAATCTTGCAAAAAGTTCTATTTATTTGTTCTTGCACGTGCATACTAATTTTACACACACAGTAAGTATTTGTAAGTCTCTGATTATTCTAAGTTCAAAGATCATGGCTTAGACAGTAGTGGAAGCTTGTATAGTCTATTGGTAGAAAGTTAAGTGGAAGGAAAAAGTGTGATAGGAGCAGGTGTTGTGGCAACAGGGAGCAGCTTTGAGAGGATTATCAATCAAAATCCATTCAAGAATTTGGGGGTTTAACCAGGAGTGTGCTGCGTTAAAATTCAAAGGACGCGGTCTACGAAGTCTGTGAAAATAAGGAGACCGGAAGAGTTTTTGCTGTGAATTCAAACAGGTCCAGCCTTCCACGGCTTTCACTGCCTTACGCTACGTTGCCAAGCAACCATGATAATTGACTCACAAAGCAGGAAAAGAATGAATACCAAGCTTTTCAAAACTGCTTCTTTTAAAATTTAAAATTTTGTTTATTGTAAAGTGATCAAAAACTTCCCTCATGTGAATTCAGAGTGGATAAAGGTGCCAACCACCAGGAGCGTAAACAAATAAAATCAAATGTAATGATAGAAACCTTAGTCAGTTAAATAACATGCTGCAGTCATTTTGCACATCTCTGATGTTGCTGGTATTTTTAATTATCCATTACTGTAAAAATGTCCATAGCTGTATATTGTTTATTTTGTTCTCCAGGTGCAGTTTTATATTGTTAAAACACTTTACAGCACAATATTTTATTGTTTATATTTTAACTCTTCACTATTATGTTATTCTTATACATTTTTCTGTTTTATTTACAGTATAGTATTTTATGTTTTTTGTTTGTTTTACTCTTCACTATTACGTTATTTTTTTTTGTACACTTTTCTAAGGTCCACGTGTGTGTGTGACCATTTTTTCTATAAGCTTTTTGCTGCTGAAAACACCAGAAGTTGCCCATTGTGGGGCAATAAAGAGATTTTCTAATTCTATAAAAGGGGTAGAAAGCTATCAGTATATCTAAACAATGTATGTATAAAAAATATATCTGCAAAATCTCTTATATTCAACAACAAAAAATACTTAGTTAAGCAAATTCTCCAAAAATAGCTATTAAGCAATTTAAATCCTATCAGATCTATAGTCCCCACACTGCAGATATATCAGAATCTGTCCTTAAATTACAGCCAAACCCATTTACCACTCTCCTCACCTTCTTCCAGTCTGAGGCGCTGCAGCCTCCACACCAAACAGTGTGACAGCTGGTCAGAATGCTCTCTATGGTGGTGAGGATGGGAGGGGGCAGGTGGTTGCAATGAGAATAGTCACAAATAACGTAAATAAAGTCATAACATTACAGTAATAAAGTTGTAATCTTACGAGAA